GGCTTCAAGGGTTACAAGGGCAAGGGCGGTCTCAGACCACTACGTGTGGGCCCTCGTGACAAAGGCAGACTCGTCTATGTTGGCAATGTAAAGCTGGCTACTACCATACTGCTATCAGTAGCTACTTCAGTTACCTTGGAGGACCGCCTGGCAAGACCTGAAAGATCTTTTCCGCGAATGCGGTGAAGTTATTCGTGTCGATATTGCCGAGGGTTGGGACGGCCGTTCCAAGGGTTTCGCTACTGTTCTCTTCGAAGATGAGGAGGGCACTGCCAAGGCTATCGGTGAGTACTCCCATAGGACACTGTCGGCATTATTATGGCTTATCTTTTCAGAGAAGTTTAACGAGTACGATTTTCAAGGGCGTAAGCTACTTGTACGCGAGGACAAGTTCGTACAGTAACACATTTTCCTCCGAGTTGTTTTCCGCCCAATGATAATGATAGTACTGGTGTGGCTCCTAGTTCAATTTTTGCGATCAATGAAGCTGACGATCGCTTTGAATTTATGACGGCGGTGAAGACAATGATGATGATATTGACTAACGTATAGCTACATCTGAGATATGAGGGTCTACTTTCTTGGTTTTGAGTTTCAAGTCGGTTAGGACGGGGATAGTAAACAAGTGGATTATCTTATAATATTCGAATAGTGCTTGTGACAGTTATTGTGTTGACCATTGCTCTATGGCGTGACGCCATTGGCGTCTCAAGAGCTTCAACGACATCTCCATATGCATATCTCGCCTGGCAGACACTAACACCGTTAATAGGAGGGTTGCTCGGATTCGCGATGTTCCACCACTCGATGCGCCGAAGAACATCCTCACTCAAGCGATCCTGCAGATCATCATGATACAGAGGCGAGTTTCTCGAGAGGAGACAATCGTGAGCTTATAAGGCTGTGTCTAATGATACATACAGAGTCGAAATCCCCTACCGGATAAGGGGATTCCCCAACCGAAAATTCGAGCACCCGTACGAGATGAAGTAACTCCCGGCATGGGATTAAGGAGGGGTTGACGGGGGTTCGAGGACTCCCCTGAGGGGATCTAGTAAATCTATCAATGATTCAAATGATCCGCATACCATGAGAAAGCTACTCAAGGCCTCGGAGACCCCAGGCTGGAGTCCACGGGTAGCACCCGGGGTGCTGCACCCCTGATACAACGATTCAGTTACACTTCATTACTATCCCACCACAATTTATGCAACACAAGTCACGCTAGCTCGAACGGGAGATTTCATGCAGATCCATAGTAATTATCAGCAGCCAATCGTTAAGCAGCTTATGCAGCGACTCTTCTATTCGGCTTGGACAAAAAGGTCTTCGCCACATCTTTAACCAATGCGGTCACATCGTCCACGAAATCCAGTGATGGACCCTCGTGTCTTATCATTGCCAAGGCAGTGAGGTGTCGTGAACTCGTTCGCTGCCTAGCGGGCCCCGTCAGCCGCTTGGCCGTGCTGAAGCACCGCTCTGCTGTAGCTGAATTACAGGCAGTGATGATGGACAACCTCAGAAGCCGGACATGACACGGGAAAGCCTCGCATATAACCCTGTCTAAAGCGAGACGTTTGATGAGATCAGAATCGTCGTCAGTCCTTCCTGTCTCACAGCCACTGGAGACCAGCGTCGCCGATGCTACTCTCATGAAAGGCCCTGCCTCGTAGTCGAAGTCTCGGATAGAATCCGAGTCCCATTTCAAAATTGAGGCCAAGTCCTTAGCCGCTTGGCCATTCCAATGAGGGCTATCACCGCGCACCGATCGGGCGATCTTCTGGACGCCCTCTGTAAGTTTGAGTATTGGGCCACCAAAGCCACTGCTGATTTCCATTCTCACCGAATGTTCGGTCGTTTCGACGGAGGTAACGCCACTGGGATTCGTGGGGCAATTCTCGGATACAGACGATGATGGGTGGTGAACGACAATGATGAGGTCGACGGCGAAGTAGCGGTCTTCCAATATGATTCGATAGGGTGAACTGCTATAATGAGAGGACACACCCATCATTGTTTATGAATCCAAACCTATCATCATTAGTATGTAAGAATAACCTCTATTGGAGGTAACGGACCATACAACATGACCCAAGCACAGGGCGAGAGAGCCATTAAAAGAACTATACGAGGAAGTATATGAGTAACTATGTGAACTATATTAGTTTCCGAACTCAGTTAGGAGAACAACGCGGTTCTCGTGAAGGGACTTCTCGGCAGCACGAGCAACCTAAGTCAACTGACCATATACACTAAAAGCGAGAACAGTGATGCCTACCTTGTCGAGGAGAACGAATCGATCGTTCTCAGCTGGATCCTCCTTCGTCTTTTCAATGACCATTTTGATGAACTGAGCATCACTCTCGAGATAGGCCGCAGGGTATCTGATTGCATACCGTAAAACGCTGAGATTTGAACGTGAGCATTACCTCTCAGGAAAACTGTAGTCAGCTCTAGCACTCTGGTAACCTAGATCGGTCGCTACTGTAACAGTAGACTCCCGCTAAAACACCTCCATGGAAACACACACATAGTTTACTTGAATATTACCTGATTTTCAGCGGTCACCATGCCCTTGGGCCCAAAGACCTCAACGCGTTGGTCATAGCCGTATGGAGCAATGCGACTTGTGTTAACAGTGGCAAGCAGACCGTTGGGATATTTCAACGTCACCTAGGGTCTAGTAGTCTCGTCTACCTCTAATGGTATGTTACTACCATAGCCGTATCTACATCATCCATAGCCTTGATCTTGGGGTTGTAGGCATGCCCAATGGAATACACAGACTCTGGTATTTGACCGGTGAGGAAATGTATCATGTCGAAGTCATGAGTGAGCATATCGTGGAATATACCTAGACATAGGAATAGAATTCCAAAGTTGTCGCACTGCAACTGTTACCTCCAGAGACCTCCAAGTACTCCATAGGAGGTTCCGGATTGTCGCGAGAAGTACAATTGATAATGCGAGGCTCCCCAACTATACCCATTTCTATCTGTTGTTTTAGTACACGGAAGTTGGGATCAGTTCTACGCTGATACCCAACACGAAAGGGCACTTCTACGGTTTTAACGTAATCAATGAGCTCCTGGAGTTCCTTCTGGTTGTCAGCGATGGGCTTCTCTGTGAGACAGGCCTTTCCGGCCTTCAATGCAGTCATGATATGCTCATGATGCATGTACGTGCTAGAGCCCACGATAACAGCTTGGACCTGTACGGAGATTGAATGAATTGCTCTATGAATGGTAGGGTATCGCCTCGGGGTCTGCCATAGCTTCCTTCATATCGGTAAGACCAATACAGCCTAGTTCCTTGGCTCGCTCCTCAACGAGTTCCTCTTTAACATCAACAACATAGAGGATTTTAACGACCCGTGGGCCGAGTCTACCTAGGGCCTAACCTCAGCAATACTAATGTTGATTCTGCAGTCAGGAGGAGTACTTCGATATGGAACTTGCCAGCCCTGCCGAGACCGACAAGACACACTCCGACGGGCTTAGGAGGTATGGGTATGTTGGCTTCTGTGGGGATTGGAGCGGAAAGATTAGACATTCCGAATCCGAAAAACTAAGTTTTAAACATATACATCTAGGCATGAGAGGAAGCTGACGTTCAAGCCTTGAGCCATTCTTGCTGAACTGCGAGTGTGACACACTGAGGGAAAACATACACATGGTAAACCACAAATGATGGTGAAAATATTAAAATTCTGAGGAAATTTGGCGAGTTTCTTGTTGATTTCTGTGCACTTCTATCCGAATTCGTATGTGAACCTCTATGAGTAGTGACGACACTTCCGAGCTCAGCTGAGAAAGGCGAACATATTCTCCACCACTGCTGTAACATTCGCGAGCTTGCATAGCTTTTCGCCTGAAGCACGATTCAAAGTAACAGTGCAAACAATGTCAGTCTTTTTATGAGTTGTAGGAAAAATGGGCTGAAAAACTGAAAAATACGACCCGGGCCACATAGTAGTAATCGGTACATTGGTTGCTGCAGAAGCACGCATGCGCATTTGGTCGAATAGGGTGGCTGAAGCAGAGCCGGCGTGACGTGCTACTACTCACTTCCGGAATTTAACTTTTGGTGATGCTACCATCATCATACCTTGACCTCCTCCCCCGGGGATCGAACCCACGACCTCCCGTATCACAGACTTTCAGCGCACAACTGTGGAATCCTAACAGCTCCGTCTCCTCGTTATACTCATACCCTAGCTATGTCTCGTCTTGAACAATGTGGTTGAACCCGTACTGCACCTTCCCGGGACAGTGTGATACTACTATACACTAGTACAGATGTATACTCCCATCGCCCCCGAGATTATACACCGTGTTTTCCCCTCAACCCCTTCTGCTTCAACAAGATACTGATTATGTAGTGTATATTCCCATGGGACTATACACTAGTCCCATGGTATAGTATCAATATCTCCGGTAGTTACCCCAAGATATGTTTCAGTTTAGCCAACTCCTCAAATGGATTTGTTTAGCGACCTTGCACATAATCATTTCTCTCTTGCTTGACGGAGAAACTAAATTCGACGACTCGCAACTGCTCGGACATTCTTAGTAACCTGCACATGGAAAACATATTATTTGTGCTTAGTTGACTTTCTATGGATCTCCTATCTGATTTTTTCAAATCTCACTTTGGTTACAGATCCAAACCTCGAGGAAAGCAGGGAGCTGAGCTGGAGGATGCCTTAGTGGTGCTGGAGGATGAGTCGGTAGTGCTGGCAAAGGGATTCCACCGGCCGAGACTTACAAGATTCCTTTGTCATCACTGCGAGTCTTCATGAAGAATATCGCTATGCATTTTTTTCCTGATCTTTGTGGACTCCGTGCGAAAACAACGTGGAACAACTGTTTCCAAGATCGGTAGAGGAAAATTCTTACTCGACTTCGTTTAGATCGTCGTACGTGCGGTTACCTCTGGTCGGGTCTACGATGCTTTACTATTCGAGGATGTTGTTGCTGTCAATTATGGCGACTCAAGCCTTGAAGTGAGCTCTCTCCACGAGTGCTGGGAGTAGGGACCATACCATTCGGTGTCTATGGTAGATAACAGTACTAGAGATCCGTCAGAAGGGCTGTACATGCTCAGCTGGCCGCCAGCGTAGGGATATTGTGCTTGAACGTTTCGACAGATGGGAAGAGACTCGTAATAATACTCGATTGCCAGTGGGAGCATTGCCATCGTAGTCTCCTCAGTTGACGTAGTAGCAGCAGCTCTACTTCATCTATGTTTGGGAGACCTCAGTGTTATGATTGACAAGGCGTTAGAGTGCCCAACGAAGACTCGAGCCTTGGTCATTATCAACCCAGCAAGCGGGAAAGGCGACGCGTTGGATTTGTAGGAGAATTCAGCTGGTTTATCGTAGCGTCTAGACTAGTACTATGTTAGTTATAAGCCCTTTTCGACGATTTATGGTATATAATATGCTTACACTAGGTATACTAATAAAGCCAAGCCCCTGCTCGACCTCTGCCAAGATCGTTTCATTGTCCAAGAGGTAGTCTCGGAGAGCGCTGAACATACGAGGGAAGTGGCAGTAGAGTCCGCTGAGAATTTCGATGCATTTATATTTTGTGGAGGAGACGGGCTTGTTCATGACTTTTTACAGGTAAGTTTCCCATGAGAAGTCGCTTTTGAGATCTCGCGCTGTTGAACGGTTTCCTGTTTGATTTTAGGCAATTTTCAAGCTACCCCATTAT